TCTGCCCATTATCCTCTTTCTCCTCTCTGTCACCTGTACTTTGCAATATCTTCCCCTGTCCTTGAATTTATAAAATGATGTCTTAACGGAACCCAGCAGTTAGCGTAATGGATATGTCGCTGGACTCCCACGTAGTCAAGCGCGGTTCGCGTCCCGGACCCGGTGGCTTAAAACTCACACCGGGCGCATGTGCGTGCGTGCCCAAGATCCCGAGAGAAGAATGGAGGAGAAGGGATTGCGGTGTGGCCATCCCCCCTGGGGGGGTGATTTCTCGCTTTCTGTCTCTATGTCTCTCTCTGTCTGTCTGGCGAGCGCACGCGCCCTATAGTGAAAACCTCTCCAAAAAAAAAAAAAAGACTCTTAACTGTCAAACTCTGCTACACACCCTCACATTTAACTACCATGTGTTGGACACATCCAAGGTACAAAGATTTCTTGGGTTTTTAGACACGGATATTAGCCTTTAAGCTCCATGTCCAGGAGGATATCGCTTTAACACTGACACCCGGCTTTATTGAAAAACAGAAAAAAATGCATCAGTAAAGATAACTTTAGGAATGGTGCAAGAAAAAGTAATTCACATAATAAATTCACTGTGGTATTCACTGTAAAGTACTGAGCTAAAGCATCTGTTTCAGTGACTATGACAATAGATGGGGTGTTATATGAAAATCAACATCAGGAAATTGTTCTCCATTTCATTCTGTAAGTAGTCCAATGTATTTTAGTTTTACTAGGAGGGTAATTGCAGTGGGTTAGAGAGTTGCTCTTTTCCTACCGGAAGGCTTAACAGCAATGGCAAAGATGGAAAATGTATGCCTGGAGTCACTACCCCAGGAAGCAACTCATTGGTCTTAACCCTAGGTGAAAGACGGGTGGGCAGGAATACAGCTGTGTTCCTATTCAGAGGGATAAAACTCCTTAGCAGGGCAGAGATGCAAAGTAAGCAAAAATGAAATATCACTGCAGGTGTGCTGTACTCACTGAGTTCTTACAATAGCTATGCTTTCAGAAATTCCTTCTTGAATATTATGAACTTGATAAAATACTGCTTTTTATAATTTTTGCTAAATAAATTAAAACCACTGTGTATCCATGCACATAAAGGCATAATCCATAAATCTATACTGTTTCTAGAATGTCTATATACTAGATATTTTTTTTTGGAGAGGTTTTTCACTATAGGGCGCGTGCGCTCACCAGACAGACAGACATAGAGACAGAAAGTGAGAAATCATCCCCCAGGAGGGATGGTCACGCCACAATCCCTTCTCCTCCATTCTCCTCTCGGGATCTTGGGCACGCACGCACACGTGCCCGGTGTGAGTTTTAAGCCACCAGGTCCGGGACGTGAACTGCAGTCAACTACGTGGGAGTCCAGCGACATAGCCATTACGCTAACTGCTGGTTCCCTATACTAGATATTTTTTTAAAGTACCAATAACTATTTGATAGCTATTAACACAAAAGGTATAGGTACCTTTACATAACCAGCGATTCATAATCAGTAAAAAACAGAATCACGCCTTTGTGAATTCGCTCATGATAGACCATGTGCACATAATCCTCCTCAGAGTCTGGTCATGCCACAATCACTTTTCTCTAGGCCTCCATTCTGTCTGATCTTGGGGACTTACACACTGGGAAGTGCCCCTTGACCAGACCAAGGATTCAAAACAGTCACCATGAGGGATCTAGCCTCTCATAAGTAGCACATTACCACTGTGCTACTTACCACTGCACTATAAAGCCATTAGTGGATATGCACTGTGTGTACTGCTGCCTCTGGAATTCCAAGAAACCACCCCTTTTCTTGAACTCTTGTCTTCTATTGTGGTAGGATGGTGTTGACTACTCTTTGATCCTTGAAACCTTCCCTTGGGGGTCTACCAGTTTCTTCTGGCTCTCTTACCAGGCCTTTTTAGGTTCTCTTGTTTTTGTTTTTTGAATTAAGATTTATTTAATTTTATTTATTATTAGTAGTAGTATTTTTTTTCCCTTAATTTTCCATAGGCATGAACATTCACCAGAGACAGAAAGTAAGAAAGTAAACCACCAGGTCTGGGACCCAGGTAATATTAGAAGAGTTGTCTTTGTTTTTTTTTTTTTTTTTTTGTAGGTTTTTGCCATAGGGTGTGCATGTGTGCTTGCCAGAGAGAAACAGAAAAAAAGGAAAAGTGAGAAGTCACCCCCCAGAGAGGATGGTTATACCATAATCTCTTCTCCTTTATTTTGCCTCTCTCAAACTCCAGACCTACATATCTAATTATATACTATCAATACAGTTACCTCCATTAGACAATCACCTTAAAATCCTGACCAAAATTGAGCTCATCCTTCCCCCATCCAATTCTCCCAACCTAATCCTCCCACTTCCCATCTCACTCAGTGCATCCACTCAGTAACTAAGCTCTAACTTCCCATTTACCCTAGATTCTCTGTCGTGATCCTTTTCAGGTCACTGATAAATTACTGCTGACTCTTCAATTGTGTCTTTTAAATGTGCGTCTGTCTTCATACTCATACCCAACAATACAGCTTTGGTTCAGTGTTTCCATAATTTTTACATAAACTACCACAGTAGTCTGTTAATTATCTTCAGATTCTTCACTTATAAACCCTAAAGGGTCATCATAATGATTAAATAAAATAGTGTAGCACTAAACACTCTGTCTGACTTACAGCACATACTCAAATGTTAGGTATTACTTAAAATAGTACTACTAGAAAACTATCCAAACTAGCCAAAGTAGAATATACTGTGGTTTATATGAAAACTAGACAAGGGCCAGCCAGTGGTGTAGTGGCTAAGGTGGGTTCCACATGGCAAGTCCTGGGCCTAGCAGCCTGAGAAAGGCATATGTGTATGTGTGTGCCCAAAAGCAGAATGGAGAAGAAGGGATTGGATCATGGCCATCCCGAAGGGGTGCTTTCTCATTATCTCTCTGGTGAGCACACACAACCTGTAGCAAATTAAAAAAAAAAAAAAGACCTGTATTATGAGGTTAATAGTTTACGATACAACCCAAAATTTCATTCTTTTTAGAAAACCATAGCCATTAAGGTGTTGTACTCCCACATAGCCAACCACAGTTCAAGTCACAGACCCGGTGGCTTGAAAATCATGCCAGGTGCATGTGCATGTGTGCCCAAAATCCCGACAGGAGAATGTAGAAGGGACTGCAGCATGGCCAAACCCCCAAGGGTGTGATTTCTCACTTTCCCTCTCTCTATCTCTGTCTCTCTCTGGCAAGTGCACATAACCTATGGTAAAAACCTAAAAATAAAAAGAAATCATGGCAGCTGTCAGATAAACAATGAGATCGGCAATGTTACGGCTCTTTTAGAATTTGTCTAACAGGTTTCCCAGTTTTTACCAGAAAGCCCCATCAAAGAAAAAAACAAACAATGAGATCAAGGGTATCTAGGAGAGTCTCAATCAAGCCCAAAGGAAAACAGTAATGTTAAAAATAGGCAGACATCAAGCCTGAAGCAAAACAGTGTCAAAAGTCAGACAGACTCATCACAGTGAATCAGAGGGAAATACAAGGGGTCTGCAAATGTTCATAGAAAATATTAGGGTCCGTCCTGTGGCCTAGTGGTTAAGGGAGCTAGATCCTAAACGACAGACATGCAGTCTCAATCTCACATCTGGCAGCTTGAGAAACGCAGAGTAAGTGTGTGTGCATGTCCCAAATCCCTACGGGATGGAGAGATAAAGAAGGGATTGTGGTGTAACCATTTCTCATGCAGGGGTGGTACTTGTCCCTCTCTTTATATCTCTCTGGCAAATGTACATGCCTTCGAGCAAAATTTGAGGGTGGGATGCGTATTACAAGAAAATTATGCATAAATTTCGTACTTTTTTGCACCAAAATAAACTTTAACTTAATTTTTTTCCACAAACTTCTTGAAGCTCCCAGATTGACACTGCCTTACCATTCACACGGTAATACCAAGAGTAGAGTCTTTTATCACTCTATAAATTTTAAAAAGCACAAATCTTCAGGGGAATAAATGGTACACCTGTTAATTTAAGATCCTAAATTTTAACCAGTTTTCAAAGGAAATATAATCATTTCATGTCATAAAAAACGATCTACTTGAACTATAGTAGTATTTCACTCTTGGGCTGTATGCGGTCCTTAATTTCTTTGAAAGCTCAAAAAAGTAGCATGTTAATAAAATAATCGGAAAGGATTTTGCCTTTTGAAGATAAAGTTCAGCTGACATAATGATCCTTTGGCCAACCGATGAAATCCACCCTTAAGAAGCCAGTATTTTAATTATATTTCAAACCTAAGAAACTCCCTGCAAAAGCACAAACAACAACACACCATTAACTTAGTGCATTTATCACTTAGAAAAAGCTATCAAGTATTTTATTATTTTATTCTACATTATATACAGATCATAAAAGGCCACAGCAGTTTTCAACATATAAACCCTTTAAAAGTAGAGGGTACTATGAAGGATAGACAAGTATCAAAATGAAGTCCAGTAATGAGGGCATATACCCAGTGCAGTATTTCTGAGGAATAACAAAGCAGATACCAAGTCATCCATATCTAGCTTACAACTATTCCATATGTTTTTATAAATCTCTTTGAGGTTTGTTAAAACTAGGTGTGTCAGGTTGCCACTTATTTTAAAAAGGGAAACCAGAATGAAAGAATAATGACCTTGGAGGGTACCCTTCCTGATTCTAGCCATTTATACGTTTTCAAGAAGGACTCATTTATTTACCATACTCCACTTCTTCCTGCCATCACAGATAGGAAAGTAAGAAATAGAAGAAAAAGCTCAATATTCCAATGTCTCCCTGTTTATCTAGAGCTTCCTTTTCCAAAAGGGGTTTCTTCAATACGTCAAGCCTTTTAAGAATTAGCTGTGAATTCTTAATCACATAATACTGCGCCCTCCTTGATTAGTAACTTGAAAGCATTGGTTTCCACTTTGAAAATACAATCTTTAAACCTATTACTGGTATCAGCAGGTCAATATAAAAAATACAGTACCATGTTACACTGGTATAATTCCATATTAAGAACTTCAAAATATACTTATCACTGAGACCATAGTCCTTGCATTAGTTTTCAGTCCACTATGAACAATTAATTATCTGCTGCATGTAAACATGTCTAAATAACTATAGATAAAATACATCAATCATAAATTTCTGTAAAAGATAATAAAATATCTCCTTTAAAAAACAAAACAATAATAAGCTATTACTGCATTGTTTCCAATTTTATGAAAATGGAACAACCACATGGTTGTTGCCAATCCTGAGTTCATTGTAATAAAAATGGCCCTAGTTCCTGGTTAAAGTCAGCAACCAATCCACTCTCTTCCAATAGGTGTCTTCTGGTACTGTAGGCAAGAATTTGTTTTAGGTGCTATTTTGTCCATTAATAAAATTATATACCAGAAACTGACCAGTTCCACAGTACTGTGTTGCAAACAGTTTTCCATCAGGTGTGGGATCTGAGAAAGCAATTTCTTCTTTACTCAAATATGAGCCATATATAAAGTTACTCCTATTGAAAAAAAGGGGGGGGGGTACGGAAGGTTAAGATTAATGTGATTTCTAATCATTAAAATGGTAAAAACCTATTAAATATAATTTGACTATAAAGACTTTTTAGATAACACTGTTATGTTCTAAAAATTGTTGAAAACCACTGTTCATCCAAAATGTTATCAATAATTTGAGTTAACAGTTTTTAATAAAAGCAACAGTATAAGAACATTTAACTATCATCTTTTCATGATAAAAGTACTCAACATCTTAGAAAGAACTTCCTCAACCTGATCAAGGGTATCAATAAACAACAGTTAATGGTCAAAGACTAATAACTGTTCCTCTAAGATCAGGAACAAGATAAGGATGTTCTTGCCTCTTCTATGCAATACCGTATCAGAGGGTCTAGATGAGGAATTATTAGACTAGACAACAAGACAAGGAAAAGAAAGAAAAAGCATCCAGATTAATAAGAGAGAAGTAAAACTATCCTTTTACAGATGACATGACTTTGTACACAGAAAATCCTGAGCGTTTTACACACCCAAAAGAACTTGCACGATCCACTGACTTCAGCAAAGTTGCATATTCAAGACTGACATTCAGCCTAGCTACTATGAGACAGGCAACACCATGCTGCTCTGCAGTGCTGGAAGCCACAATAGCAAATCACAGGTTTAGATCCTGCGTCATCCCTGAGGCAGGCCTGGTGTGCAAGCACCCAGTATCCTAACTGGTTAGAGGGCTGGGAAGGGAATTATCAAGGGTACCTGTTTCTTACTCTCATAAAAGAAATAAAAGAAAAAAAGATCGATATTCAAAGAGCAATTGTTATTTCTATATATTTGTAATGAAAAATAAAAAATGGGGACCAGCAGATGGAGTAATGGTTATGTCACTGGATTCCCATGTAGTCGACTGCGGTAGGAGTCTTGGACCCAGTAATTTAAAACTCAGCTGGGCACATGTGTGTATGTGTCCAAGATCCTGAGAGAAGAATGGAGAAGGGATTGTGACATGGCCATCCTCCCAGGGGGTGATTTCTCGCTTTCTATCTCTCTGTCTCTCTAGTGGGCACACATGCCCTGTAGCAAAAAGCTCTCTTAGGGCTGGCAGGTGGCGGAGTGGTTAAAGGTGCTGGATTCCCACATGGTCGACTGTGGTTTGAGTCCTAGACCTGGCAGCTTGCTTTCCCTTTCTCTCTCTCTCTCTGGTCAAATTTTAAAATAATAATAACAAATGGAATTCAATAAATGAATCATTCTTTTTTGAAAAATGTTATCTCTAAAAAAAGAAAAATCCAAAAATGAAATTTAGAAAAAATTCCACTTATAATAACATAAAGAATAAAATACTTAGGAATAAACTTAAAACCTATAAACTAAAAACTATTAAATATTGATCAAAGAAATTAAAGATCTACTAAAGAGACATCCACGTTTATGAATCAGAAGACTTAATACTGTTAAAATGATCTATAGCTGGCTTCTTTGCAGAAACTAACAGGCTGATCCTAAAATTCATATAGAAATACAAAGGACACTGAATTGACAAAACAATCTTGAAAAAAAAAAAAAGAAGAAGTTGAAGGACTCAGACTGTCTTATTTCAAAATATACTAAAAATTAGTTTTAGGGGCCAGTAGGCAGCAAGTGGTTAAGGTGCTGGATTTCCACATGGCCAACCATGGTTTGCGCCCGGACCTAGTGGCTTCCTTTCTCACTTTCCCCCCTCTCTCTCTGGTCAAATTAAGTAATAATAATAAATAAATAAAATGGAATAAATGATTCCTTAAAATACATTAAAAAAAAAAAAACATGAAAAAACTAGGGTCAGCAGTTGGCATAATGGCTATGTCGCTGGACTCCCACGTAGTTGACTGTGGTTCAAGTCCTAGACCTGGTGGCTTAAACTCATGCCGGGTGCATGTCCGTGTGTGCCCAAGATCTTGAGAGGAGAATGGAGGAGAAGGGATTGCGGCGTGGCCATCCCCCTTGGGCGGGGGGTGATTTCCCGCTTTCTGTCTCTCTGTCTTTCTCTGTCTTTCTGGCAAGTGCATGTGCCCTATAGCAAAAACCTCTCCTCCCCCCAAAAAATAAATAAATAAATAAAAATAAAGGTGCTAGGAAAATTGAGTATTCACATGTGATATCTTACCTCACATCATATACTAAAAGTAACTCAAAATCAGGCCAGCAGATGGCATAGCACGCCCACATCGCCAACTATGGTTCAAGTACCACATCAGTAGCTTGAAACTCACACTGGGTACATGTGTGTGCATGTCCAAGATCCTGGGAGAATTGGAGAAGGGATCTCAGCGTGGCCATTCCCCCCTGGGGAGTGATTTCTTACTTTCCCTCTCACTATTTCTGTCTCTCTGTTGAACACACACAACCTCAGGCAAAAACCCCTTTAAAAAACTAACTCAAAATGAATCAAAGACCTAAATATAAAAATTAAAGCTATAAAGCCCCCTCCAAAAAAAATAGCCATGAATCTTTGCGGCTTTTTATCAGGCAATATGACCCCCAGGGTCAGCAGGTGGCATGGAGGTTAAGGCACTGGATCCCACGTGGCCAGCTGTGCAGTTCAAGTCCTATACCTAGCAGCTTAAAAATCATACTGGGCATATAACATGCATGCCCAAAATTCCAAGAGGAGACTAAAGAAGAGGATATGATGCAGCCATCCCCCCCTGGGGGGTGATTTCTCGCTTCCCCGCCTCTATCTGATGAGTGCACGTGCCCTTATAGCAAAAATTAAGACCCCCAAAATGGAAGTGACAAAAAATAAATTAGACTCCATCAAAATGAGTAAGTTTTGTATTTCAAAGGACAGCGTTAAGAAGATGAAAAAACAACCATGAAATGGTGGGGGATACATGCAAATCACATGTATAACAAAACAAAGGAATGCAAAAAGAGCTATTTCAATTTAACAAGGAAGATAAAATAAACCAATTTAAAAATGGACACGGGATTTGGGCGAGCCAGGCGGTATGGTGGTTAAGGCAATTAGATACTACATGGCCAAATAAACAGTTCAAGTCTCAGACCTGGCAGCTAAAAACATCTCCACGTACATTTGTGTGCGTGCCCAAGATTCCAAAAGGACTGTGGGAGAAGGGACTGTGGTGAGGTCATCCCCATGAAGGCACTTTCTCACTTTCTCTCTGCCTCACTACAGCAAGTGCACATACCCTATAACAAACTAACAACAACAACAGGCAGGATTTAAACAGGCATTTCTCAAAAACAAACAGGCATTTCTCCAAACAACCAAAATGTCCGTCAACTGATGAATGGATAAATAAAATAAATAGCTACCTAATGTTACATTATTTGGTAGTTTAAAAACAAAAAAGAAGGGCCAGCAGGTGGCATGGTGGTTAGGGGCGCTAGACTCCCACATAGCCGACTACAGTTCAAGTACCAGACCTGGTGACTTGCTTCTCTTTCTTTCACTCTGTCCCTCTCTGGTCAAATTAAAAATAAACAAACAAAATTAAGTTAAATAAAATAATTAAACAAAAAAGGACCAGCAGATGGCATAATGGTTATGTCGCTGGACTCCCACGCAGTTGACTACAGTTCGACTAGGTCTCTGAATTTGAACACAGAACCTTCCACGTGAGTCAGCCCGGCAGAGTATAGCATTTTACTGCTGCACCAGCATCAGCCCCTGGTCAATGATCTTTGACAAACATGCTAAGACCCTTCAACTGAATGGACTGCGGCATGGCCATTCCCTCTTGTGGGTGATTTCTTGCTTTCTGTCTGTATCTCTGGTAAGCACACATGCTCTATAGCAAAAATCTAAGAAAAATAAAAGCCCCACTGAATTGTGAACTTTAAAAAGTTTATTTTTATGGTACTATAAAATTATCACAATAAAGCTATTATTAAATATTTGGCCAAGATATAGCCAGTTTACTAGAATTTTCAAAAGGTAATGTTTTTGTTTTTTAGATTTTTGCCATTGGGTGTATGTGCTCTCTGGAGAGAGACAGAGAAAGAAAGTGAGAAATCACCCTCTGGGTGAATAGCCACACCACAATCCCTTCTCCATGCTCCTCCTGGGATTTTGGGCATACACACATATGCTCCTGGAATGCTTTTCAAGCCACTAGGTCCAGGACTTGAACCATATCTTAACCACCATGCCACCACTGGCCCAATATGGTAATCCCAACAAATCTTAACAGTTGCCATGACACTAAAAGAAAAGACAATACTTGCCAGGCTTAGTTCTGAAAGAATGACAAAGAGCCCTGCCTCTTGTCATGAAAAAGGAAGGTAGGTCGGCCACTGCAGTGCAGTGGTAACCAACACTCCCTGATGCTGGACTGTAGGAGAAGGGCCTGAGTTAAAAAATCCTGGGGTTGGGACCAGCAGATGGCGTAGCGGGACCTCCTACAAGGCTGATGATGATTCAAGTCCTGGACCTGGTGGCTTGAAAATCACACCAGGTGCATGTGCATGCATACCCAAGAGGCCAGGAGAAGAATGGAGAAGGGACTGCAGGAGATGATTTCTCACTTTTCCTCTCACTGTATCAATCTGTTTCTCTCTCTGGTGAATGCATGCACCCTAAGGCAAAAACCTCTTTAAAAAAATAATAATCCTGGGGTCTTCCTGTATACACATTGGAGATGTGCGCTCACAGGCCTGTGACCCTGGCTAGCCGAGACTGGAGGCTGGATTATGGAATAAAAACTGTCTTGGGGTACATATCTCTGTCTCTCTTGTGGAAGGAATAAAGAAACTTTAAAAAAAAAAGACTGGAGGGCCAACATGTGGTAGTGGTTAAAATGCTAGTCTGCCACATGGTTGACTACGGTTCAAGTCCTGGACCTGGCAGCTTGAAACTCAAGCAGGGTGTATATATATATATATATATATATATATGTGTGTGTGTGTGTGTGTGTGTGTGTCCAAATTCCCAGAATGGAAGAGAAGGGATTGAGGTGTGGTTATCCCCATAAGGGGTAGTTTCTCACTTTTCCTCTCTCTTTCTTTGTCTTTCTGATGTACACATGCACCCTATGGCAAAAACCTTAGGGCCAACAGGCAGCATAGTGGATAAGGCGCTGGACTCCCCATGTCGTCAACCACAGTTCGAGTCCTGGACCCGGTAGCTTGAAGCTCATACTGGGTGCATGTGCATGCATCCCAAAAATTCTAAGAGAATGCTGGAGAAGAGATTGCCGCATGACCATCCCCCCAGGGGGTGATTTCTTCCATTCTGTTTCTCTATCTTTCTCTGGCTATGCACACATTCTACAACAAAAATCTCTCAAAAAGAAAAAACTTTAAAATAAAAAATAGAAAAAGGTGGGCAGATCTGAGCCCTCTGGATTTTTACTCATTGATAAAATAGGGGAATAGACCATATACATATTAAGGCTGTAAGAATCTTAGGATCTCACTTGCAACATAACATTACTTTGAAAGGAACAACCACATACAACAGTAGACAGGGAGGCTACAAATAACAAAAAGAGGCCACAAATAAAACAGTAGATCAGCCTACAGATCTCTTTTAATGATTACTTCTAGCCACCTCCATTTATCCTTTATCAAAGGAACTTCATATTGTAGAATAAAAAATCAAATGGATAATTTGTCTGAGTATCCCTCAATACCTTTAATAAACAATCAAATGATAAAAACTATTGAGACTTAGTTTAGAAATAATATATTTTTTAAGAATTATTTTATTTAACTTTTTTTTATTTGAACAGAGAGAGAAAGAGTGAAAAAGACAGGGGGTGGGGGAAAGAGAAAGCAAGTCACCAGGTTTGGGACTCAAACCTTCGTTGGCCATGTGGGAGTCCAGTGCTTAAGTAAGTGTCCTTAACCACCATGCAACTTGCCAGCCCCAAATAATATTCTTCATTAAGAAAAGCTTTCCTGAAAGCTAAACTCCCAAGAAACTTTCTATATTTATTTGGTTTTGTTTAAAATTGGCCCACCCGTGGTGGTGTAGTTAGCACCATCACTTGGAGACTGGCAGCCACATGGGAGGCACAGTTTTCTGGGCCAATCTACACATGCTGAACACAGTGGTACCTGTCTGTAATCATGGCTAGCTGGGCACCTAAGGCAGAGACTCTGTCAGAAATACCTATCTGGGAGCCAGTCAATGGTATAGCAGTTGTGTCACTGGACTCCCACATGGCTGACTGCAGTTCAAATCCTGGACCTGGTGGCTTGGAAATCACGCCAGGCACATGTGTATGCGTGCCCAAGATCCCAGGAGAAGAACAGATTGTAGCGTGGCCATCCCCACAGGGGGTGATTTCGCACTTTCTCTCTTACTAGAGCACATGCGCACTAAGGCAAAAAAACTCTTAAAAAACAATAAAATTGTCTGTCTCTCCCTCTTCCCCCTTCCTCTTTTCCAGTCTCATAAAGAAAAAAAATTCTCCAATATCAAACAGAGCTTGAAATAGGCTATTTTAAACTAATATCATAGTTACAAATAAGCCAAAATATATTTTAACTTATCATGATTTCTTCTTAAATTAACTAGGTAAAAAACTACTTACAAATCCAATACATTGACAATCTTACACAAAATAAAACTCACACATTTGTGACTACTTAAATACCAATCTGTATACTAAAACTCTGCTTAAATCCTAAACTATTGAAGATGATTTGAGGAATTACATCACATTACCTTAGGCATTCAATCATGCGAGAAGCAATCTTCTTCCGACGCATCATGCTGAATACCCATATTCGACTGATCCCACAGATTGCAGGCTCTGGCGACGTTGAGCAGCACCAGGCTTTTTGCCTTTCAAACCTGACTTTTTCTTCTTCGGACCTGATAACTGGAAGTTTCTCTTCTATAACTCTGTAGCCCTATAGGGTCAAGTTGAGAGGGGGAATATTTAAAGTGAGAATATTAATAAGTGGTTGTTCAGTATTGATCTTGTTGAGAAGGTTACTACATTTGTCTGACTTCTGAACAAATTAGGGGGACCCCTTATTTTTTTGTTTTAGGAAACAGAAAAAACTGGTACTACATTATATTCTAATTCACTTACTAGTTATTTGACCATGAGACAAAGTCACTTAATTTAAACTTTGGGGTTCCTCACCTATAAATCGAGGACATCCATCATCTCACATTTTGAAAAATGAAATAAAGTAATACATAGAAAACACCTTGCTATCACTGAGTGGCCCATAATAGAAATTGAGCAGTAGCTCTTCCTCCCTCCCTCATTCTAAGGACCAGCAAAAGTACATGTTAAGAACTAAGCAATAGGGGACCAGCAGTTAGTGTAATGGCTATGTCGCTGGACTCCCATGTAGTCGACCGTGGTTTGAGTCCCGGAACCGGTGGCTTAAACTCACACCGGACGGGTGTGCGTGCGTGCCCAAGATCCCTAGAGGAGAATGGAGGAGAAGGGATTGTGGCGTGGCCATGCCCCCTGGAGGGTGATTTCTCGCTTTCTATCTCTCCTGTCTCTCTCTCTCTCTTTCTGGCGAGTGCACACACCCTATAGCAAAACAAAAACAAAAACAAAAAACAACTAAGCAATAGTAATGACTATTCCTATGAATGTTGCCATAGTTCTAGGATTTATGCACAGCTATACAGGAACTAGAAACAAGAATACAAGAAAATCCTTTGTTATCTTTGAAAAAAAAATAATAATAATACATTTCCTCTCCTAGTCTAGTTTTTTTCTTTTTGGGGGGGGGTAATATATTTTTGAGAGGTTTTTGCTATAGGGCACGTGTGCTCACCAGACAGGAACTTAAGCACACATGCACACGTGCCTGGCATGAGTTCAAGCCACAGGGTCTGGGATTTGAACAGTGGTCGGCTACATGGGAGTTCAGTGACAGCCATTATGCTAACTGCTGGTCCTTCTCCTAGTCTAGTTTTAAGAGGATAAGACCAGCCTTCTGATGGGAGAAGGTACAAAACTTAAAAGGCAATTAGACAACATAATTATGAGTTAATGGGCTCAGCTGCAGTGGCACAGACGTAGGATGGCACTGCACGATGCTGGAGCCACATGGGAGGCCCACGTTCATATCCCAGGTAAACTACAACTTGCTAGGAGCACCTGTAGGCACATCTATGATTGGCTGGAAGGCTGGTGTGGGAGGGGCAAAGGTAAATTACAGCCCAAAAGACCAGGTCAGGAGTCCCTGTGTTAATTTGAATGTATGTGTCCATCTCTCTCCCATGAAAGAAAAAACAAAACCTTTAAAGAGAAAGAGTTAACAAAAACAACCCAAAAATACAGAAGCTCTAAGTTGCTTCTGCAAGTAAGTGGAAAAATGATTAATAGCTACTGAAACACACAACAGTCTACACTAAAATTAACTCAATCTCAGTATGACCAACTCTGATGAGTTAGTCATTTTATATCAAATGCATATGCCCAAACTGTCTTACTGCTATGTATTTAAATCAATTTTATTAGAACTAAATAATTCCACGTAAATTTTATTTTAATTTATTTTATACATTTAATCACCATAAATCTCTTAGCTTGTAAAGTGAATTTACACAACATGAATATACTTCACACCAGTCGAGGATCATCAACAAATAAGAACCCCTTTCTGTGTCCCATAACACTCTCCCCCGCTTCTACTCTCTTTCCACACTGTCTCCAGAATCCATAATCATTTTCCATGCTTTTATATTCTCTCATTTTTCAGTTTCTGCCAGGGTGTGGAGAGTCAGTATATAATACTGGAGACATACAGGCTGAATCTTAAAAACATGTAACGTGGGGCCAGCAGGGGGGGCATAGTGAATAAAAGACTGGACTGCCACATGGCCAACCGCAGTTCGAATTCCAGACCTGGTGGCTAACCTTTAAAGAGAAAGAGTTAACAAAAACAACCCAAAAATACAGAAGCTCTAAGTTGCTTCTGCAAGTAAGTGGAAAAATGATTAATAGCTACTGAAACACACAACAGTCTACACTAAAATTAACTCAATCTCAGTATGACCAACTCTGATGAGTTAGTCATTTTATATCAAATGCATATGCCCAAACTGTCTTACTGCTATGTATTTAAATCAATTTTATTAGAACTAAATAATTCCACGTAAATTTTATTTTAATTTATTTTATACATTTAATCACCATAAATCTCTTAGCTTGTAAAGTGAATTTACACAACATGAATATACTTCACACCAGTCGAGGATCATCAACAAATAAGAACCCCTTTCTGTGTCCCATAACACTCTCCCCCGCTTCTACTCTCTTTCCACACTGTCTCCAGAATCCATAATCATTTTCCATGCTTTTATATTCTCTCATTTTTCAGTTTCTGCCAGGGTGTGGAGAGTCAGTATATAATACTGGAGACATACAGGCTGAATCTTAAAAACATGTAACGTGGGGCCAGCAGGGGGGGCATAGTGAATAAAAGACTGGACTGCCACATGGCCAACCGCAGTTCGAATTCCAGACCTGGTGGCTTAATTTCTCACTTTTCCTCTCCTCTCTTTTTCTTTCTGCCTCTCTATTGAGCACACAGGCCCTGTAACAAATTTCTAAAAATTAATAATGATAAAATTAAATAATCCTTAAAAATAAACATGGAGCTTGACATAAAGAAATAAACTGATGAGGGGGCCAGCAGATGACGTGCTGGTTAAGAGCGCTGGTCTCCCAGATGGCCGACTTCAGGTCAAGTCCGGAACCTGGTGGCTTGCTTTCCCACTTTCCCACTCTCTCCGTCTCTCTCTCTCACTCTGTCCCTCTCTCTGGTCAAATTAAAACAAAGTTAATGAATAAATAAATAAAATAAATAAATGAAATAATTCTTAAAAAAAAAAAAAAAGAAGTAAACTGATGCATACTTGTTTTTGACTTTTTACTTTATTAGAAAATGTTTTGATGGGAACTGGCAGATGGCGTGGTAGTTAAAGGTGCTGGAATCACACATGGCTGACCACGGTTCGAGTCCCGGACCTGGTGGCTTGCTTTCTCACTTTGCCTGTCTCTCTCTTTCTCTCTGTCTAACAAAATTTTTAAAAATGATGACAACAATAAATGGAATTAAAATTTTTTAAAAAAGAAAATGTTATAAGGAAGCATGTATTTGTAGGCAGCTATTAATATGCTAAAAATACAGTCACACATAACATACACTGAATTCATGAGTGAGAGTTTAGCTGAAAAAAAAAATCAGGTGCCAGCCTCTGGCACGATGCATGGATCCCACATTGCCAACCACATAGTTCAAGAGTCTCAGGGGACCAGCAATTAGCGTAATGGCTATGTGGCTGAACTCCCATGTAGTCGATCGCAGTTCAAATCCTGGACCCAGTGGCTTAAACTCATGCCAGGCTCGTGTGTATGCATGCCCAAGATCCCGAGAGAATGGATAAGAAGGGACTGTGGCGTGGCCATCCCCTCTGGGGGATGATTTCTCGCTTTCTGTCTCTCTCTGTCTCTCTGGTGGTCACACGCGCTCTATAGCAGAAACCTCTCCAAAAAAAAAAAAAAATTAAATTAAAAAAATAAAGTCTCAGACCTAGTGGCTTAAAAAGACATACTGGGCATTACATGCCCAAAATCCCAAAAGGAGAGAGAAATACAGGAGAAGGGAATGTGGCATGATCATCCTCCATGAAGGGAGGGTGCTTTCTCACTTCCCCCGCTCTCTCTCTCTCTCCCCGCTCCCTCCAGCCAAGTGCACCTGCTGTCTAGCAAAATAAAAACAACGACAAGAACAATCTCCCCGCTCCCCCCAGCCAAGTGCACCTGCTGTCTAGCAAAATAAAAACGACAAGAACAAACAGAATTTAGATATGCCTCAAAGTGAGCATAATTAGGGGGAACCAGCAGTTAGTGTAGTGGCTATGTCGCTGGACTCCCATGTAGTCGACCGTGGTTCGCGTCCCGGACCCAGTGGTTTAAAACTCACGCTGGGCGCATGTGCGTGCATGCCCGAGATCCCAAGAGGAGAACGGAAGAGAAGGGATTGCGGCATGGCCATCCCCTCTGGGGGGTGATTTCTCACTTTCTGTCTCTATGTCTCTCTCTGTCTGGTGAGCGCACGCGCCCTATAGCA